TGACATCAGATGCAATGCACAGCAGAGATCTTTTGCGGCAGTGTTTGAATCCGCCCCTAAGGACTGGCAGATGATGAGGCACCCCCTGCAGTTGACTGGCAGTGGATTAGGATTGGAACCGGCTTCTTCTCCCGCGGCATCAGTAACCTGCGGAACTCACCATCACTGGATGCAGTGGTGGCCACTAGGTTAGGTTGGGTTAGAGACATTCAGCAAGCCCAACTGTGTGCACGCTCTCTCCGCATCAAAGCAAAGAATGGACACAGTTTCTGTGCATGATTGTCAGCTCCAGGTTGGGAAATACCTGGAATTCAGGAGCATCCACCACCTCCCGAGGTAGTCTGATCCACTCTGTGTGTGTGTGTGTGTGTCGCTTTCAGCAGCTGGACTTCCTTCTCTCCAGGCCCTGCCTGGAGGTTGGCAACCCCATAATTGGTGGTTGCACTGGGGGGGGGGAGAAGGTGGTCTCGCCTAGAGTACAAAAAACCCTGGAGCCGGCCCTGTCCATGTGCTCCAATAAGAGGAAGAGATATTATAAAGCGCCTGAAGTGCTGGGTTTAAGTTTCTTGTACTGCTCATCTTTACAGTGCCAAATAATCCTCCTTGAATCTTGCCTTTTAAAATGGTATACTGTCCACTTGTCCGTTTGAGAAGGTATCTAACCACTCCCGTGCCAAACTACTATTGGACCAGGTTCCTTTCTTGTGTTCCAAATATACGTGGCTCAATATAGAGAGGCAGTTTTTAAGTAAGTACTGGGCCATCAGATCTGAGACCCTGGGACTTTATATCTAAAGTTCCTTGAGTGAGGACAGTGAGGCACTGGAGTTTGGCATCGGGTCCCCTTTAAGGGCATTCTTTTTTTCATCATTTCTGTGCACAGAATACATTCCAGGAAATGAAACACTTTCTGTGAGGGACGGGCGTCAGCAACAAAGGGGATTGACAGTCACCACGAAAGGCGGAATCCTCTATAAAATAAGGCCGATTTGAGCCTGATGGCTACCCTCTGAAACTATCTAAAAACCAACACGTTCTGAATGCAGCTCCTCACCATTTGCTAGCTCAGTAATTTTCTCCATCACCCACAGCTGCCACAAAGACATTTTGGTTTTAAAGCCCCTGATCTAGAACATAATCTCTGACAAAACTCCATGGGCAACCAAGAGATAGAGTGAGACAGGAGGTGGCAAAGTAGTTTCTAAACAAATAAATTACATGGGGGGGCCTTGCAAGGAATAATTGCAGGAGGGAGGGACAATTTGGGAAGGCCCATCCCACCTCCTAAATCCTCCCAAGAATGCTATAAAGCTGCACAGGGCTGGAACAGGCTAGCAGAAAGATCACAAGCAGAGCTATACCCTTCTAAGCCCATTTTCAAGTGACTCAGAAGGACAGAACTCTCTGCTTACACTTCTGCTATAGCTCTTCCCCTTTGCCCTTCAACTGAGACAGATCTGCCTTCAATATTCTGTATCTCCAGAAGAATATTCGGATTCATCGGGCTGTTTTTCTTAATTTCTTTCTGGTTAATTTACAAAGTCCACCATGTTTTTTGGTTGTTTTTTTTAAACCATCATTTTATGGTCTGCTTTTGGCTTGAGAAATATTTGAGCTGTTCCAAGTTGTACTGTTTTGTGCTTGGGTTGTGTTTTCGAATGCTGGGTTTTAATAATTTCTATGAAGCGCTAGTCTGGCCTGGCTAGCCTGGTCAGGCTAGCTTAATCTCATCAGTATCACCAAGGAATACTAGGGTCATTACTCAGAGGCAAGCAATGGTAAACCACCCCTAAATGTCTCATGCCTTGAAAACCTCACCAGAGGTCACCATAAATCAGCTGTCACTTGACAGCAAAAAAAAAGAAGTTATGCTTTTAACATGTTGTATATTGTAAATTCCCCTGCGGCAGGTTTAGGTTTAGGCCTGCCAAATCTCGCCAAATCGCAGCGGGGGATCTGCATGTCTTTGCAGAATCCTTGCCGTGGGGATGGCGAGACGCACTGCACCGCCGTTGGCAGGACATGACGCTATGTGTCACTCTGGCAACGGGGTTGTTTGGAGCCCGTTGCCAGAGCAATGTGTAGCATCAGATCCTGGCGATGGCGGGTGCAACGCATCTCGTTGTCCCCGCGGCAAGGATTCTGTGAAGAACTACGATCCTCCGCCGCAACTTGGCAACCCTAGGCAGGTCACCTAGAGAGGCAGCGTAGACGTTTTCTAAATAAAATAATAAATATGTAGTGACAATGTTGGTGGGTGATTTTACTCCTTTTATGACTGGCACAATTCGTCCCGGTTTGCTATTAGATACAGCAACAAGTTGGGGGCCTGTAAGGAATCAAGATGAAACCTCTAACAGCAACTTGCGTGGTGCCAAGACTTCTTGCCAAGTAAATACATTTTTAAATTATTTTTTCCAAAGCCCTTTTTTGATTCTGAGCATGGTTACATTGAGCTGGAAAAGGAGTGCTGCTATGTCTAGTCTTAATTGCTTGAAGAGCTTTTAGCTTTATTTTGGTGTCTGGTTTTATTCTTATGACTTTTATTCATTTTGATATTATTTTTGTTGCATTCGCGTTTTCCCCCAAAACTGCCTCCCCAAATAGTAGCAAGAGTTTGGAGTGTAAACACTTTACGTAAATAAAGAACGTTTTTTTAAAAATCTTACCTTCCAGTTAGTGTTCCGACTGCAATGACAGGCCCTGAAGGATGAAAACCAGCGGACTGTGCTGGATCCTACAAAATTGGAATGAGCAACAGTTAAAGCAATTTACAGCAATAACTGGATAGCTAAACAAATTACTCAGTACAGGAACATGCCACTTGACACCCTACATATTGAGTTTGAAAGAGTTATTCCAAACTATTAAAGGCCTTCGTCTGTCAGTCAGTTTTCCTGCAAACCTGCTCTGGAAAGGATTAATGGAAGAGCTGGAATGGACTGTACCCCTAGACAATATCCGGTAGCAGCATCCCTTTCTTTAACGCTACCCAGTCTTCCCCAAAGATCATTTCCCCTTTTGGATAATAAACATCAGGATCAAATACTTCTGGAAATTAGAATTAAACTTAAACCTAAAAAGTGCTGAGGTATGTCAGTGAAGAAACAAAAAACAGTAATAGGGTTGTCAACCTCCAGGTGGAGCCTGGAGATCTCCCAAAATCATGACTGATCATCAGTTCTCCTGGAGAAAATGGCTGCTTTGGAAGGCAGACCCTGTGGCTTTATACCCCACTGAGGTTCCTCCCTTCCCTTCCCCTCCCCTTCCCAAACCCTCCCCTCCCCTGGCTCCACCGCCCCCAAATCACCAGGTATTTCCCAAGCAGGGGTCGGCAACCCTATACAGTAATGTGGACACCAAGAAAAAGAGCGCGTGCCATACAGTCTCAATGCACGAAGCCATATGCATACAGACACATTGTAAAAGAATAACACCCAAAATATGAGAGGCATTTTATATACAATCCCCTTGGCACATGGGGAAGGTGTCAAAATGTAAGTAATTTTTAGAAAACTGTGCAGCAAGAGCAGTGCACTCTCCTTTCAAAGACGAAAGTGGAGAGTGCAAGACTGCGTGGCCGGAGGTGTGTGTGCCTCCTAGTGCTTCAAAAGCCAGTGCTTGTAAAGAAAATGCCGGTGGGAGTCTTATGGCACCTTAAAGATTTGATTCTAAGCCTAAGGTTTTGTGAATTAAAATGGCTATGTTTCAGGTGCCACCAGGCTCCTGTTTATTTTTGTTCTAACAGGCCAAACTGGCTGCCCCATAGGGATTATTTGAGAAGCGCTTTCTAAAGCCAGAGCCAGCCCAGCAGGCCTGCGCAGCACCCCCTGGTGGCCCATCCAAGAGACCAAGGGAGTCTGCCTCCTGCAGTGTTCTCTGAGAGAGCCCGTTGGCACACTGAACGTAAGCTACACTCAGTACTGACCTTTTTCAAACTGCCTTTGTATTCCATTTTAGTAACTGATGGCTAATGGATCTTTTCTGTCAATTCAGACAGACCCGTTTTAGTAACCGGCTGCTAGCAGAATTTATTTACCTGTCTATACAAACCCACTTGCCTCCAGTTAGCTAAGTGTGGTTGAGTCACTTTTGAGGGAAAATGCTTTTTTCCCTTTTCAACCCCTTCATTGCACTTTTGAATTGCTGTAGCGTGCTGTATAAAATGTCCATAGTGCTTCCTACAAGGCCGCTTTCCCCCTGTGCGCTCTTTTGTGGACCTTTTAAAACTGTCGAAGTTGAGCGCTATGCTGATATAACACTTCAGTGCTATAGTGGCACCGTTGAGATACATTGGCTCCACTGAGTCAATGCATGTCCATGGTGTCGCTATAGCACTGAAGTGTTACATCAGTTTAGTGCTATAGGGCTCAACTTAGAATGTTAAAAAAGGGGGAGAGTCCAAGGAAGATTGTGAGGACAAAAAGGGTGTGGGGGGGAAGCGGCACGGTTTGAAACTACCATAGCACTTCAGAGATGGCTCGTTAACATTAATACTGCATGAAACCCCCCTCGTCCCTGTATCGCTTTACTCAAAACTGGGCCAACAATGAATAACATCCAGTTTAGAACGGTAATGTGAAAAGGGCCTTTATCTGTCACCATACCAATTTGCTGTTCACAACTGGAAATACTACCAGAGACAGGGCTGGCCAACCTCCATATGCAGAATAACAACTGATCTCCAGACAGCACAGATTAGTTCCCCTGGACTAAATGGCTTCTTTGGAGGGTGGACTGTATAGCAGGGTTACTAGATGTCCTCTTTTTAGAGGACATGTCATCTTTTTTTTGGTGTCCATCCTCTTTTGGGCTCTTTTTAAAACAAACTGATGAAAATGGCCGTTTTTGGGGTCAGAAGGCTAGGAATATTCCTAGTTAGTAGCAATAACCACAGCTTAAATAGTAGGGGTACTTAAAATGAAATTTTTCATAGTGATCACTTGTTTGAAGTAGTCAGTTGGAAAATATGTCCTTTTTTTGCTTTTCAAAATATGGTAAGCCTACTCTATAGCATCATGCCACACTAAACTCAAAATCTCCAGGAATATCCCAACCTTGAGTTGGCAACCATCACCAGAAATGGCATTCGGGTCTGGGAATACTGTCAAAATGCATTCAGAGGTGGTCTGCCATTGCCTGCCTCTGCGTCACAACCCTAATATTCCTTGGAGGTACCCCATCCAAACAGTAGCCAGGGCCGACCCTGCTTCGCTTCCGAGATCTTACAAGATCGGGCTAGTCTGGGCTGTCCAGGTCAAGGATATGTCAACCAACTACCTGTACAAAAAAAGGGTAGCAAAAAGCCCTCTGGTAGCATGGCAGAAACAGCAGCTGCAAGGGGATGCCCAAGGGAAGTGTGTAGGAAACCCCCAGGTCAATGCTGATTCACACCAAAGAATCACTGTGGTGTGGAGGAAATCATAGGGAGTGGGTCCAGCAAGCCAGTCTACTCAGAAGTAAATCCTTTTTATTCAATGTGGCTTACTCCCAGGAAATGGTTCTTAGGACTGCAGTCATAAGCCTTATAACATATTATCTGGAAAACTCTCTTAGTTACGTCCACAGTTATTTCGCAACAGAAGCTGTATTCGCCATCTTCCTCTTGATACACTACAGACCAATTTGTCATCATTACTCGGGCACTGAACTGTAAAAATTCTGCAGGGTTTTTTGGTCCCCCCCCCCCCCCCCCATCTTCAAGAACATTTGAAGTAATGGTCTCTCACGGCATCTAGAAGGTCACTCTTATCAGCATAAACCGAAATTCGCTGAGCTGAAATTTCATGTTCACTCAAACTGAACAGTAACTTCAGAACTCTCCAAGACTCAGCAGGTGTATCCCAGTTTGGACGAATGCCTGCGCGGTGTTGCTCTGGATGGGATTTCAAATGTTAAGAGTCTCTCAAGTTGAAGCATGCCATTCTTGAAATAAATAGTCGTCATGTCATCGGACTCACTTCATGTAAGGAGATACCTGTTTGGGCTGTGTCTGGCTTATGCTCTACAAAGAGAGTCAAGTAGACTGCACAAGTTAAGGCTGGCTTGAAAGCCATTATTGCTGGAATTACTTGTTGCTGAATGAATCTTCTCTTGATCCAGTCTTTATAATGTTTCCTTTGCTCGAAAGCCAGTTGAATCCGACTCTAGGGGGCGGTGCTCATCTCCTCTTCCAAGCCGAAGAGCCAGCACTGTCCGAAGACTTCTCTGTGGTCATGTGGCTGGCATGACTAAATGCCGAGGTGCATAGAATGCTGTTACCTTCCCACCAAAGCAGTACCTATTTATCTACTTGCAATTTCTTGCTTTCGAACTACTAGGTTGGCAGGATCTGGGGCCAGAGACGGGAGCTCACTCTGTCATGTGGCACTAGGGTCTCGAACTGCCAAGCTACCGACCTTCCACTCTGCTATTCAGCGTCTTAACCTCTGAGCCAACATGGCCACCCAGTCTTTATACTTCTGAGCAATACCTCTGACTTTCACAGTCACTCCCTCCTCCTAGAGAAACCCTGAGAATTTGAAGCTTTGTGCTAAAGTTCAGGAATCTCCCCCAAAATTTTTAGCACACTCATCAAAATCACATTTCCAAGGATGCTAGGCCATGTCAATGAAACTGGTTCAAAAGTTTGCTTCCAAAATAATGAGGCAGAAATTGCTCAGAAGGCGGGGCCACGTCCCCATAAGACTTCTGGGTAGAGGAAGGCCACTGAGTATGCCCCACGCCTGACTAGGGCCTTCAAAAGGCTTGAGGGGGAAGCCAAGGAAGACAGACCCAGTTCAGAAGGGAGTGGAAATATGGGAGAAGAGGATGCCAAGGGAAAGCACTTCAGCCAAATTAGGACTTGGCGCCTGATGGTTCGGGCCAGGATTCCTACAGGTTCCAAAAGTATCATCCTGCCAACAGAACGGCAGTTTTGCTGGAAGAGTAAGAGGGCTCAGTTTTTCCCACTGCAGACCTTCATTTTTTGTCCCCTCCCCATGTGGTTCATTGATAAACAGAATGCTGGGGGCACAGTGGTCTGCAACAGGAGGAAGTCCCATTCTGTCAAAACTTTGCTCTGTTCACAGTTCTTTGGATCCAGCCCCCCAGGGTTTGACAATATGACATTCATACTGGTGGATGAATGTAAAAAGAAGCAACAATGGAGATCCATGAGAGGAAAAAGCCATCTTTTGTTGTTGTTGTTGTTGTTCAGTTGCACAGTCGAGTCCGACTCTTTGCGACCCCATGGACCAGATCACGCCAGGCCTTCCGGTCTTCCGCCGTCCTCTGAAGTTGGCTCAACTTCATGTTCGATGCATCTATGACACTGTCTAACCATCTCATCCTTTGCCGTCCCCGTCTTCTTTGACCTTCAATCTTTCCCAGCATCAGGGTCTTCTCCAGTGAGTGCTCCCTTCTCATTTGGTGGCCAAAGTATTTGAGCTTCAGTTTCATTATCTGGCCTTCCAGGGAACAGTCAGGGTTGATTTCTTTTAGGATTGACTGATTTGATCTTCTTGCAGTCCAAGGGACTCTCAAGAGTCTTCTCCAGCACCATAGTTCAAAAGAATCTATTCTTCGGCGCTCGGCCTTCCTTATAGTCCAACTCTCGCAGCCATACATGACTACTGGGAATACCATTGCTTTGACCATGCGGACTTTTGTTGGCAGGGTGATGTCTCTACTTTTTATCATGCTGTTTAGGTTTGCCATCGCTTTCCTCCCAAGGGGCAGGCGTCTTTTAATTTCTTGACTGCTGTCACAGTCTGCAGATATCTAGGATCCCAGGAAAGTGAAGTCTGTCACTACTTCCACAACTTCCCCTTCTATTTGCCAAGGAGTGATGGGGCCGGATGCCATGATCTTAGTTTTTTTGATGCTGAACTTCAAGCCCACTTTTGCGCTCTCCTCTTTTACCCTGAGCAAGAGACTCTTTAGGTCCTCTTCACTTTCTGCCATTAGAGTGGTATCGTCTGCATATCTGAGGTCGTTGATCTTTTTCCCAGCAACCTTAATTCCCGCTTGTGGTTCATCCAGGCCAGCATTTTGCATGATGTACTCTGCATATATATTAAATAAGCAAGGTGACAATATACATCCTTGTCGTACTCCTTTTCCTATGCGAAACCAATCAGTTGTTCCATATCCGGTTCTAACTGTCGCTTCTTGATCCTTATACAGGTTTCTCAAGAGACATGTGAGGTGGTCTGGTACTTCCATCTCCTTAAGGACCTGCCATAGTTTGTTGTGATCCACACAGTCAAAGGCTTTAGCATAGTCAATGAAGCAGAAGTAGATGTTTTTCTGGTACTCTCTTGCTTTCTCCATAATCCAGCGAATGTTGGCAATTTGATCTCTAGTTCCTCTACCTCTTCGAAACCCAGCTTGTACTCCTGGCAGTTCTCTATCCACGTACTGTTGAAGCCATCTAGCTTCCAGAAATTAGCTTTCAGAGTGATTTCTGCACGGGCTTTGTACTTCTACCCGAGTGGATTTTCCCTAATAATGCCCAAAGGCATTCCCACAAAAAACGTATCTTTTTTCAGCAGCTGCAGTTCAAATTTGCAGTTCAACCTTTTTCTGTCATGACCCATTTAAAGGAAGCGTTCCTCACATTCCATGGGAATCACTCCAAAAGTCAGCCTCTGTCGATGCAAAACATTAAACTGGAATTGGCTCCTAGATCGTACAAGCCTAAGAAAAGTTATTTTCTTAGTCTGCTAGTCTACCGCCATACTCATTTTCAGTTTGTAATCCCCCCCCCTCCAGTCATCCTAATGCTAAACACCTTTAACCTTTCTACAACTGTAGATCAAGACTTTATTTATTTTTGTCAGTCAATATCAATTTATGGCCAGAGAAGATAGTTGTGTGTATGTTCTTCAGGAAAACTGCTCTGAATATATAACAATGAACATACCTCTATAATTTTGGTCCAGATTGGACTGTGGCTGATAGCATCCCAGAGCGTGATGTGTTTGTCTTGCCCGCACGTGAAGAACTGAGGTTTGGAAGGATGTGCTGCTAGGCCCCAGAGCTCATCGGTATGGCCCTGAATAAATACAGCAAGGACGTTTTTCAGTAGGTTAACAACAGTACCTCTGATGCAAGTTCTTTTGGATCACCTCTGTGAGTGGAATAACCCACAAAGAGGGGTGATTTTTGCCCATTCCTGCTGCACCCCTCCAAGTTATATTCCATGTTGTTCCAGTCGTTTTGCGACCTGCTGCTGGTGGTGGTGGTGGTGGGGAATGCAACAAGGAGTCGGACGTGAGAAAGCCATGTTCTGCACACAGAATTCTGCTCATGACTAATTGGATCCAGGCAGGAGGGTTGATCTTATACCCATGTTATATGCTTTGGTAATTTACACAAATACACACGCTGACACATGTAAAACCTCATATTCCTTCATCAACCCTATCTTCTCCTGCAGCAAAAAGGGGGGCATTGGGAAAAGTGGCCCCTTTCCTCTTGTGAAAGTGGAACAAACTCAGTACTGAGGCCCCCCACACACACACACACTTGAGAAGCAGAGGAGATATTTCACCATATTCGTAAAGCACTTCAGGTTGGATGGGGCGTTTGGTTCAGGAGCCTCCCCCCCCACCATCAACTTTAGATTTTTAAGGGGGGACGGGGGTTGCTCAAGGAAGGGAAATCTGCTCCTACAAATGCCTTCCATTTGTAGTTGTTCAGGTTCAACCCAACGAAATGAAGGCTACCACTTACAAAAAACCACCTCAGTTCTTAAAGATGGGGGTGCTCTCCACAAAATAATTTACCTGTGTAATTGGAGAAAAGTCTCCTGACAGGGAGCCTTGTAGAACGAAATTTCGAGTAGTGCCTATCAACACGACGTCACCTTTCCCCTCAGCTATTGTTCTTATGGGTCCAAACTGTTCCGGAATCTATTGTCAGAATTAACAAATGGCACAGGATCACTTCTCAAGCGCGCACTGTCTACGACGTTAGTATGGAGAGGTGCATTTTCCCTTAATAAGCTTTATGTTAATATGACATGGGCACTTCGTGATGAAGCAACTGAGGCCACTGAAGTAACAATAACACAAGACAATCATATGTGCAGCACTAGGGCCAGACAGAATTCTGAAGAGCAACCAAAATAGGGTAACTCCGAGATCTTAGCACACACCGCCCCCCCCATTCAATTTTGGTGCTCTGGCCCCTCATAACAGAAGCATATGCCAAGCGCAATCACCCACATTCATGTGCTCACCATTTTAAGCAAACGGGGACATGCATATATTTTCCATGTGCACAGAGCTGCTTCAGTAAGCACGAACAAGAACCCCAGACTTTTAATAAAGAGGTCATTGATAATGCAGCTGTATGAGCACAGAAAATATGGACATACCTCCTCGCACAAAACAGTGATGACATGCATCAGGAGGATCTGATCTGACTTTACTCCTGTTTGATTTTGGCACTGCCAAAATGGCACTGGTTCTGATGGGCACATTGCACTGGTTCTTCTGCTGGCCTTGCAAACATGCCCGTTCCCCACACCTCATTTTATACTGGAGAGAGTCTCTGGGAGAATCTGCTGGGCTTGTTGTATGCCTGCCTTGCTTTTTTCCTACCATTGGAAACAATGGAGGATGGGGGCACCCTCTTTGGGTGCCCACAGAATTGGATCCCCTGGGCCAATCTTCTTGAAACTTGGGGGCTCTTTTGGAGAGAGGCTCCAGCAGTGACACCGTATATTTGACACACACACACCAGCCCACTGAATATACCCTAGGAGATTTGCCATTGACTATAATGGCCCCATAGGGTATAATGGAGTCGAAAAATTCGGGATTCCCTAATTAATTTGGGATCCTCTTATCAGTAAGCTGAATCAGAACTGAGAATCTGATTTGGCTTAACTAATGCCTGAATCATGCCGAAAAGACATGATTTGGGTATTAATTCAGCTTGGAAATGCCAAATGCACATCCCTATTACCAGGGCCAGCTCTAGGTTTTTTGCACGCTAGGCGAGGCTACCTTCTGCCCCCCCCCCCCACCCGCGCCCCCACCCACAAGCACACAAAAAAAAAA